CACCAAACCAGTGCTTTTTAGCACTGGCCACAGAGGTCATGTGAAATTCAAAACATACCTGTGAAGGACCAGACCTTTCCTCACATGAACATCACATGCCCTTTAGGTCAGCAGTCATACCTGACTTAAAGATGGCTGCTCCACCAGGCACTTTAAAGACTCTCCTGCCTGCCTGCTTCCTCTGCCATGAAACAACAACTTGGACTCCATGAGGGAGGTGACCCAGAGAGGAGCAGTGGTGGGAAAACTGCAGCAGCGTTGGGAACAGCGAGCCTGCCCGGGGACAGGACTGGGAGGAAAGTCCCTGGCTGATTGCCTGAGAAGATCCAGGAACAAGAGACTGGGCAATGGGGGACAAAGGAGCAAGTCCCCGAAAGCCATAATTAACTAAAACTACAGAGCATTAATAAATATGCTAGCACCAAACCAGTGCTTTTTAGCACTGGCCACAGAGGTCATGTGAAATTCAAAACATACCTGTGAAGGACCAGACCTTTCCTCACATGAACATCACATGCCCTTTAGGTCAGCAGTCATACCTGACTTAAAGATGGCTGCTCCACCAGGCACTTTAAAGACTCTCCTGCCTGCCTGCTTCCTCTGCCATGAAACAACAACTTGGACTCCATGAGGGAGGTGACCCAGAGAGGAGCAGTGGTGGGAAAACTGCAGCAAGGAGTTGCATTTTGGTGTCATTCCCTCCCTAAGTTGTTCCTGCCTGACTCACCTCCACACAAACAAAGTAAGGAGTTGCATTTTGGTGTCATTCCCTCCCTAAGGTGTTCCTGCCTGACTCACCTCCACACAAACCGTGACCCTACACAGGAGAGGTGTTGGGCACATCCCTCCTTCCTCTTCCCCTCTTAGATAATATTAATCTGGGTGTTTAAATAATATGGTGTATTCATATATAAGCATTTGGACATATACATGTGTTTGGTATTTGGTGTTTTAAAGGCATTTTAAAGACCCTATCTCTTTTGATGACCCTCGAGCCTCCTGCCCCAAACTGTTTTATTTCTTGCCTCAATAAACCCTGTGCTCGTAAATTCGAATTGGGAGTCGGCTGCTTTTATTAGAAGCATCAGTGAGCATTAGACAAGTGTCTCACCCTAAAAGTCAGTGCCTGCTCCTCTGTGAGAGGTGAGCACTGCGTGTGGACCTCTCAGCAGATCCCTAGAAGTTAAAATCACTCCAAAAAGGAAATAAAATAGGTCGCAGATCGTGACATTTTAGTTTGGTGTCAGAAGTGGGATCTGGGGAGTATCTTGCCATGCTCACTGCTTCTAATTTAAGAACAAAACCAGGTAACAATGGCAGTGAAATTCAGCGCTGATGCAGTCAATGGTGCTGTTTGCACCACAGAGGAGGCTTAGAAATGGTTAACTGTGTCTCTACAACAAGAACTTGAGCACTGCCCTCTTGTGCTCCCCTTTCAGAAACACCTGAGCACCCACGCTTACCTGCCCTCACCCCAGTTCTTCTCTACTGTATTAAATAAATATAAGGAAGCAAAATCAGCTGAATTAGCAGAAGATTTGCATTACCTGGAGGGGGGATTCAAACTTCCAAAGTCTACCAAAAAAGAAATTAAAAAGCAGGGTATAGATTGCCTTAATGCACGAACATTCTTTACCCTTGATGTAGTAATTTGGAAAGAAAATGAGGAACTTCACAATGAACTGGCCACTCTAAAATCTGATAATTGGCCGAATTTGATGATTTCATTCATATCAGGAAGGCTCAGACTCTAGTGGGGCTGACTTTGAAAACTTCTCTGATGTTGAGACGTGCGTCCCTCATAGAAAATGCTGTCCTTCAAGTGAGGAGCTAAGCTCTGACAATACAGCAGAGGAGGAAGAACTGAGATCTTCCTCAAAAAAGACTATAATGAAGAAGGTGTGCTTTGCAGTGAAAACTGGCAAATACAGGTCTGCCCTTAAGGACAAACCTATAAAACGACAATCACCACCCCTATCTCTTCCCACCAGGGCAGCAACTCCTCCCACAACTCCTCTAACACCTCCCAAGGAGGCAGTGCTCTCCAGATTTCAAGCCACATCCATTTCCAAGGCTACACCCACTACGCAGGAGGGACAAGCACCAGCCAGTGTACTGACACAAAAACCACCTCTGCTCTTGTGCATAGTAAGGCAGAGGCAGGATTGGAAACACATGTGAAATGACAAGACTGATCAATAAAAGAATGGACAAATTAGAAAAGAAATTTAATTACCTGGCTACTAAATCTTTATCCTCTTCCTGCTATAATATGGAGAGTTCAGAAGAGGAAGGGGAAAGGCACAAAACAAAGCATAAATGTCTTCACCCAGTCGTGCACACTGATGGCACAGCGAGGGTGAAGTCAGACAGAAAAATGCAGTATATAAGGACACAACGTACACCCCAATGGAGACAGCACAATTAAAAAGGCAATATAGGCACCTCCCTTCTGAAACAGAGATGGACTATGTCACTCAAGTGTCTGCTTCAGGGGGAGACAACATCATGCTAACTGAGGAAGAAGACACAAGATGCTGGGGATTGGGATTCCTGTTAACAACAGGAGATCCCAGATATCCATGGGCAATCCCACAGAGGGCTGCCTGCAGCGTGGGCTTTACAGACCCCCTTTCACGGGGTGAACCTGCTGTATTGAAAGGTGACTAGTCCAGATGGTTGCACAAGATTCACAAAGTGGCTACTATTCAATTAGTATATAACCATGAAGTGGTGCCTCATGAAGAAAGTCCTCTTAATATCAGAATAAATCCAGAATACTCTGATTCCTGGGCTACCTGAGTCATTGAAAGGCGTAGCCATTGACATGAAAGAAAAAATTCAAACCTCATCTGGATCAAAGGGGCAGATCTAGCCCAGGAACTTACCAATTATTCCAGAACATATGGTGTGCCCGAGGTGGAACTGACCCAGAAATCTGCTGCCACCAGACAGGTAATTCAGTCTCTGGTAACCACCAGAAAGCCCTCATATGCTGCCACAGCCACCTCAGAGCCCCGTGCCACAGCCAAGGGGTGAGTGGCAAATTGGTAGTAAGAATAAAAATAGCAAAAGGCAGCAAACCAACAGCACACGTAAGGGTCAACGTTCTGAACATAAAAATACTTTGTCTCAGGATGATATGGGGCCTTATGCTCAGCTGAAAGAGGAGGCTAAGTGTAAGGGTATCCCACCTGGGCTTTTAGCCCAAAATTACTCCTACAATCACCTCAAAATGCTAATTGAGAAGTGGCCTGCAAAGCCAAATCTGGGGGAGAAATCCCATAATAAGAATCAGGGAAACTAAATAGTCCTCCCTCTGCCAACAAAAAGAGGTCAAAAGGATGGCAGAGGGAGGAGAAAGGGGATAATCCAAGCACAGCCAATTCAACTGACCCCCTGAGCAGACCCTGGGAGGCCACCCCACATGACGAACAAGATTGGCCAACAAACCAATCAGGCCCTGAAACCTCAAGTCCTCCAAAAGATTGGCAAAATGTCTTAAAGACAGTACAAAGCAGAGGCAGAGAGGGCAGCAATGGCCGCTGTGAAGACTGTGAAACCCAACAAGGAATAAAATGAGCGTGGGAGGAGCGGGAGGTTCCCGCTCGCCGGAGGTTCCTGCTCTCCTGCAGTCCCTGCTCACCTGAGGAACCTGCGCTGAGACTTCTTCCCACCACCCGTGGGTTCTAACACCAGGTTGCAGGGGAATTCATCCACACCCAATATATAAATACCTAGACCATCTCAGGAATAAAGTAAGGAGTTGCATTTTGGTGTCATTCCCTCCCTAAGGTGTTCCTGCCTGACTCACCTCCACACAAACCGTGACCCTACACAGGACAGGCGCCGGGCACATCCCTCCTTCCTCTTCCCCTCTTAGATAACAAGAGTTAATCAGGGTGTGTAAATAATAAGGTGTATTTTTATATAAGCATTAGGACATATATAGGTGTTTGGAATTTGGTGTTTTAAATTAAAGACCCTATCTCTTTTGATGATCCTCTCTGAGCCTCCTGCCCCAAATTGTTTTATTTTTTGCCTCAATAAACCCTGCGCTCGTAAATTCGAATTGGGAGTCGGCTGCTTTTATTAGAAGCATCAGTGAGCATTAGACAAGTGTCTCACCCTAAAAGTCAGTGCTGAAGTTCTCTGCTCCTCTGTGAGAGTTGAGCACTGTGTGTGGACCTCTCAGCAGATCCCTAGAAGTTAAAATCACTCCAAAAAGGAAATAAAATAGGTCGCAGATCGGGACAAAACCTAAAATAAAATGTAAGCACATCTTGTCTATTTGCCTTACATAAAAGACAGATGGAAATGCCAAAAATACCCCTATGCAGATTGTGTAGCACCGTAGAGGGCCAAAGGAGCCCACAAGTGAAGGAAAATTACTGATTCAAAGTAAACAACTGAATACAGTGACAATAAAGTATCACTTGTCATAATGCTACATATAATGTAGAGTACGCAAAATGCAGTGGTTTGACTGCAGGATTTAACAATAAAAAATAAAAATAGGAAAAGCAGCCTTAATATAATGATTTTACGTATAAAAATATTAGATCAAAATAAATAAATCCAAACATAAATATTATACTGTACATTAAGAATATGCTATCTATATACACACAAACAGGTACAAAAGTGGAAGGCAGAGGTATTGCATCACTATCCTTCATCCAACTCGTCTCCGCTGGCTGCTCTCAGAGAACCTGGAAAAGACAGACAAGGTGCATGTCAGAGTCAGCTCTGAAACCTGTAGCTGGAGAGATGGGCACAAGAGCAGAGCCAAAGTGGGTGCCAGTGAGGTGGGAAGTGTATTCCCAGCTGATGCTGATATCCATGAGGGTTATGGGGACCCCATTGCTCCATGGGGTGCGTGGCCATCACCGATGCTCTCAATGCACAAGAGCTTTTGCAAGCTTGGCCTGTTCTGCTCCTTCAGGAGGTTTTTTGGGAAGATTTCCCTTGGTGCAGAGGCAGCTGGGAACTCACCATTGCTATAACACCTGAACATCGAGGCCTGTTCCAGATGATGGAGTGCACTTCCCACAGTAACCGCCACATTTTCCTACTGCTTTGGTACCATCCTGCAGGCAAAATCAGAAATGACATCTCACCTGAGGCTTCAGGAACTCCACACTGCAAAAAGGGCCGTATCTGGGTTATTTTAGCCAAGATATCTAATAGAAATGTCTTGGAAGGAAAACAAGTTATGCCTAAGTCAATCTACAAAATCACTATTATATTAAAATGCATGGAAATGTAATTCCCTTTAGTGCTACCAGGTCAGGGGGTGAACACAAATAAGAAAGGGCAGTTTTGATTTATTACACTGAAAGATGTCCAAGGAGAAGGCCATTTAATGGGATATCTTAAGGGTATCTGCTTTGTCTATTCTGCCCCACAGTGAATAACTGTGACGAATGGAAAACCTGGCTCATGGAAGAGCAAACCCACTTCTAGACAATGGCAGCTCCTCAGTGGTGCCTGAGCACATGGAAGGCAGAGGAAGGGCAGGCAGCACCAGGAAACATCCATTTGGAAGGGAAAGGCCTGGAGTGATTGCAGAGTCAGGAGGAGAGGGATGGGATGAGGCTGTGCCACTTGCTCAATGCTGTCCCCTCTCAGCTCTGCATTTCTACAGCCAGAAGAGACAAAGAACCAGAGTGGTCCTGGTGTTGGCCTGGTCTCCAGGAGAGCCCAGCACATGTGGTGCAACTCTGGTCTTGAGTTGGGAGATTAATACCTCCATCTGTCCTTCCTTATCCCACCTCTGCAGAGACTTTCTCCTCTGGTCATTACAGTGGACAGACAGTCCTTGAGAGAAATTCAGCCCTCAGTTACCAGAAAATTGGACGTAAGTGCAGGACAAGCTTGCACAAAGCTTTTATTTTTAAACAAGCTCCATCCTGCCCTTGACACTATTGATCTGCAATTGCAGCAGACTGCTATCATCTCTTCTCACTACACCTTTCTTTCTTCTGCTCCTGTGGGCAATTATACTCCTGAAAATAGCATTTGACAGATGCCACTGGGTGATGGAGGTAAGAGTTGTCTCTTAGAAACCCTGTCTGTCAAAGTTTGCCTTAATTCTGCCAGCTGTGAAGGTGGCTGCTCTCCACAACCCCAAGGTCAGTTGTGCAGGCTTCTCCTTTCTGAAGGGGAGAAGAGCAGCAAAGCACCTTCCAGAACTGTAATGGAGTCTGTGCTGGTCCTCTTCTGCCTGTACTGGAGGATGCTCTGCTGCAGCATGGTTGGACCAGTAGCATTTAATTCTCCTTTAAAAGCCCCAGCACTGATAAGGCTCATGGGCTCAAGGGGCTCCCCAGAGCCAGAGAGATTGAAAGCAGTAACAGGAGAGGATATTTAGCAAATTGCTTTTTGTTAAATAATTATGGTGACCTCCTTCAGAGAACTTAACAGAGGCAATCAAGATGACTCATATGAAGTAGCAGCCAAAAGAGCAATCTTGGGTTTCTCCAATTTCAGAACATAACACAGAAGCAATTGTGTGAAGGCACACAGTGATGGAGGTGTTAACAGGCAGGAAAATGAAGCCATCCAAGTTCAAATTTGGCTCTAAAGTGATTTTTGAAGGCCTGCCTGGCTCATCTGGAGGCCTCTGGTTAGCAGAGCTGTGAACAGCTCCAGGGGATGGTCCTTGGGGTGCACCCCAGCCCACCCCAGCTCCAGTGACTCGTGTCTCTCCTGCAGAGATAAACCCAGCCCAGCAGAAAGCTCCACATCTTCTACCAGGCACGTTTTGGGAACAAGCCCTACTCAGGGCAGTCTCCTGGCACCCTCTCCAGCAGAGAGGGTATCCTGTATCCTTACCCTGAGCACCCTGGTCCTGCCTGCTGTGTGGTGGATGCTCTGTGCCAGACACCTCAGAGAGCCAACGAAGGACGTGTCTGCCCCACAGCAGGCAGTGTTTTCAGCTTCATGGTTAAGCAGGCTCACCAATCAATTGTAATAACTCAAATCAAGTTAAACCCCTTAAGGCCCCCCCCCTCCCCCCAGACAATCATGGGCAACATTCTAGATTTTTGTTATTCTCTGCACGGAAGGTGTTGCCACAAAAGACAACAGGGCAATTAAAAACTACTCACGAGTGGGTAAAACTGTGAGGAAAATGACAACTTACTGGGGACTTCTGAATTTCCGACACTGCATAATTCCCTTGGGAGAGCCACTTTGCTGTCCCCAGCAAGGACAGCCCTGTCCCATAAAGGTCTATGCTGAAACGACCCTGCAAAAGAAGCAGATGAGTTTGGTTATCCCAAAACGTCACCCTTGGGTCTCCCACCACTTGCCACAGTGTCATTTTTCTACCAGGACCTTGCTGGGAACTTTTCCAGTGCCTCCCAGGGCTCTGACAGTGCTGAGCACTGCACCAACCGCAGCCTGTCCCACGTTAGGGATTTCCCTCTCGTCGGCGGCTGCAGGGGAAGGAGGGGCTTTGGTTTTTCACCGCCTTTCGCTCGGGCTTGCCCTGCTTTCTCGCAGTTTGCCGGCTGAGGGCATTCTTTGCTTTCCCATGGCAAACTGCAGAGCCTGGTGTGCTCCGGCAGTCGATGGGAAAGGTACCCCAGGGACGTGGTGCAGCCGCTCTCACTGCTCCCTTCTCAACTGGAGAGGGCACACTTGGCCTCTTTTTCCTTATTTTCCTTATTTTCCACTGGGCTTCTTTTTTCTTTCTCCTTTTCCCCCCAATACCAGTAAAATCAAAGCTCTTTTCCTCGGTTTCTTGCTTAAAAATGTCCCTCACTTCATTCCACCCCGTCTCCAAATGCACAAAACGGGTGGAAAATGAAGGGCTGTATTTGCATCCAGATCCCCCCAAGCCCTCCCCTTGCCCCCACTGCAGCCCCCAGCCCTGCCTGTTTCTGCACCCAAGGAGGGATCCTGTGGCCACAACTCACAGCCCAGCACGGCCGTGCAGGACCAGATGGCTGTTGGCTTTGCTCCCTGCCTTGGGAATGTTGATGGGCCAGGTGGATGGATATTAACATTCATGAGCCATCCCGAGGCTACAAGTCAATCTCTCAGCCGCTGAGCTGTAAGGAAAAGTGTCAGCTCTGAAAGCAGGGAGGGAAGGAGATGGAGAGGTTTGCCCTCGCTGTCTGTTGCTGAGACTCCCTACTTAATGCCCTTTGCAAATATAATCCATCCAGTACCTTGGACTATCCAAACACACCACTAGTCATCCCTCAGCTCCACAGAAACTAGGTGTGCTGGGCACACAGAGCAGGACACCTGTAGCACAGTGTTAATTCAACTCCTAAAGACTTCCAAGAAAGCATATTTCTTCCAAGTGATGGGGCTAGATGTCCTACATCACCCCCTGAAGCTCCTAAGGATGCAGCTTAGCCTGTGCCCAGCTCTGTGATTTCATGACTTGGTACCTCGTGGCTCTGGGCCAGGCTGGATTTGCCCTGATGTGCAGGCACTGCCTTCGTTCTGTCAGTGTTTTCCCAGCCCCAAAGTGGAGTTAGTGTTGGTCCCACTGGGCTGCTGTGAAAATGAGCAGCAGGACATAGGAGCAGCAGCTGGCAGGTACCATCGTGGACTCTGATGAATGGGCTCCATTGGTGCAGCAGCAGAAACTTGACCTGTTCCTACCTTGCAAAGGCTTTCCTCTCTTCTTGATGAGCATCTCCCTCCTGAGCTGCCTTAGCAGGAGTCCTGCTGTCTGCTGCCTTCTACATCCAGAGGGGTTATCTCACTCACATTCCCACACCTCTACAAGCAGTGGTTTCACCAGATATGGGACTGTGGAGCACAGAGGCAGGGTCCCAGGGCACCCTGATGGCCTGATTCACTGCTGCTCTCCCTGCCCAGCATGTCCACCAAGCTCTGCTGTGGACTGATACTCCTACCTCCAACTACACATGCAAAGCCCAGCCCTTCTCCCATGGCTTACTTCTCCTCACCTTTCTTCTTTACTGTCTGAAGACTTGGGGAATGTCCCTTAGACAGTCCTAATGCTGGTCTGATAATAACCTGACATTTTTCCATATGGAAAATGAAAAGGACTTTCTGCGTGAACAAAAGGAGAAGTTTCTGGCTGCTGAGATAAGAATATGACACTGACTGGATTTGGGCTGATGCGATCAGCAGTAATTAACAGAGGGCCTGAACATAACAAGTGGCACAGACTCCTATGAAATGCTGTTGTCAAATACCTGTGGGCACTTGGCTGCACTGTAGCAGTCCCCAGCAGTGGCATAAGGAACAGGTCGTCCATCGTGTGTCCGTGCAAACTGTAAATCAGTCGCTGTGGAGAGCAGTTGGGGAGCAACAGGGAAAGAAAGATGCAGGGAGACAGACAAAATAAATGTAAACATGCTCTTTGCTAATGTTTAAATTGACTAAAGCTGTTTTCGTACATTAATCTTGAGAGTCAAGGCCTCATCTGTTGGATTTTTAATATTAAATCCCCCCAATTCATCCCACATGTGACTCCCATATGTGAGAGCTGAATTTAACAGGAGGCTCACACGCTCAGTGCTCACAGCTCAGTTGAAGCACTTTGGTGATTTAGGGCCTGGGTATAAATAATAACAAAACTCAAACCCATGACTTGGGTTTTATTTCTCTATCAGAAAATTCCCCACTTTCAAGAAAGCCATGGAACCTCTTAAACCTCCCTTTTAAACAAAGGCAAACAACCATCTCTGTGCTCTCCTGGCTGCCCCAGCCCAGGGGTCGGGATTTCAAAGGGAATTCGGGGTATTTTGCTTTGGAGGGATCTGAAGTAACCAAGAATCATTTAGATGGGGATGTGAGATAGCTCCTGCCTGACAGAGGTAGGTGCCCAGCTCCTTTTGAAATTCAAAGGGAGCTGGTATCAAATTCCCCGAGGGTGGTTCCTTTGAGAGCTTTACCTAGGAGCTTTTACAGACTATTAGTAGCTTTTTACAGATTGATAGACTGGGAGGTCTAATGGCTTGAAAATTAAGTGATTAAAAAAACCTTATCAGATAAAGAGTCACTTTACAAGGAACAATTTTGATTTGCTTAAAAATCTCCACTGTTTACTGAATGAACCCCCAACAGCATGTTGTATTTTTAAAACATTTGCTGGAAACTTGATAGCATCCTTGGAGTCAAAGAGACTGAAACCTTAACCCTATGGGATGCTCCAGGCTCTCTGGCTGCAGGATGGCTCCCAGCTCCCATGAATGACAGGAGAGGCAGAGTATCACTTACACTGCACAGCTACAGTCCCCTCCCCTGCAAATCCATGGCACCAGCTCCATCACTCTCAACACAAGTGATTTCCCCATGGTCTGGCTCTGTCAAGAACCTCCCAGAAGGAACAGCATCCCTGACCCCAGCCAAGTCCCTCGCACTGGGATGCCCTGACATGGCTGTGTGTACAATGGGGTCCAGCTCCTCCCTGGTTAAGCTTTCTGCCTGAGCCCAGTCTGAAAACAGGAGACCACAAGAAATAAAACCCTTCAAAAATTACACTGGCCTGCCAGGAGCACAGAAATCCATGGCAGATGTACTGGTGACTGCCTTAATAGTATCCTATATTAGAGAGAAATAGTATGAGCATCTCTGATGTACTCAACTTGTTGTCTCCAAGTGTCAAGCAACAAACAGCTGGCCAAGTTTCAAAGTGGCTTTTAACAGGAGAGCTCAGATATATCACTCACTAGACCACTACTGCTTCTTTGTCGTTACAGCTCTATTTGTGTAAAATAAACATTAATTTAACTTTATTTTAATGGCAAGGCCCTGTTTTTTACTCACTTATTATTTGCATAGTGTTCAGGTCCAGCCTTACTTTGCTGAAGGTGGAAAACCCAGCTGCTGTGTAATCTTTCCTACACTGGCAGTCTTCTCGTCTGCTCCCGTTATACGGACACTCAGTTGGGTTATGCAATCTGAATCAAAAGAAAACCCTTCTACTCATGACTGGAAAAAATATTGCCATGGAAAACAAAAATATTGCAAAGCTCAGGATTAAGGGATTTCTTACCTGTATCCATACACTTCTGAAAAATTCTCTGCATCCCCATTTACCAGGGTCACATACTCCTTTGGACTGTCAGTCTGCATCCCAGAGCAATACACCTGAGGAGAGAAGCCAGGATTTTGTTGGGTATCATGTGCAAGCTGAGAAAACTGAAGGTAGGAAATGCAAGAGTGGAAGTGAAGAGCACATGCAGGGTCCTCTTGCACCTTTGAGAAATGCATTGACTATCAATCTGTGGCTGAAATGCACCTTTAATGTCTTCCCTTTGACTTGAAGGAAATATTCGCCATCTTCGATGATGCCTTTGAAACTTTTCACCTCCTTGCAACTCCTTGGTAATTCACCTGAAACAAAACAGAAGTACTTGTAGTCACTGAGCAACTGTGCATCAGCATTTCTTTTGTAACACTGTGAAGCATCTAAAGCACCAAAACACCTTGTTTGTATTTAAGAGGTCTCCCTGAAGTGCTTCAGTGCTTAGTTGGATGGCTCCCAGCGCTTGAAAATACTGCACATCTCCAGGAGCTTGATGGGAACAGATGCTGAAGCCACAAGAAAGGCAAAGGAAGGTGCAAACCTGCAGACTTACAGTCATGGGTGTTGTGACATGTCCTCCTCTCTTCTGGTTTCATGTCTGCATGGCACAAGCTGCTGACCTGGTCATCGTTTGTCAGACACTGCACTGAGCGGTGCATGAGTCCAGCTCCGCAGGTGACGGAGCACTGCAGCGAGAGGACACACATGTTAGCTCAAGGCTTTCTAGGCCCCAGAAGAACAGAGACAGCCCATTTCCCTCGTGTCAAGAGAAAGCAGCAAAGGCCCTAATCCTGCAAAGTGTTCAAACACGGGCTTAATTTTAATCAAACAAATAATCCTTTTGTTATTAATCCCTTCATTATTATCATTGTCACTAATTATTTCGAGAAGGCTGCTGTACTTGCATAGTAACTTGAACACTGAAACACTTCCCAGGACAAGGCAGTTAAGGTGAAGCACATGTTCCTGTGAAATTGTTTGGTTTCCACACTAGAAAAACTGTGCTAGAGACAAATGTTCACCAGAAGGCTTGAATGGTAGAAATCCTCTCCTGGTGGCTGGGAGACATTGCTCGGGTCATTGACAGGGGCCTCCAAACAAAAATGACAAGTGTTATATTTTCTTACCCAAATTGCACCAAAAACCCCACGACTTCCAAACCCTGTTTCTCTTCACTCTCTGAAAAAAATGCCTGTATCTGTGCACACATGGAGAAGTACTTTGTCATCCTCAAATGGCTCAAATCAAGGGCAATCTTAAGGCTGAAATTGCAGAAGTTACTAGAGCTACCAAGCAGCACCTCATGCAAACTGACTGCTGCTGAGTGTGGGTGATGGGAGGTGGGAGTCTCTTGCTCCCCCTCCACAACTTGTTATTTCAGTGCATGAGAACAGAAAATGAGCTCTTTCTACAGCTCAGGCTGCCAAGAGAATGATGATGCTTATCTATTTAAAAATTATTAGTCTAAAGGAGAACGCCATGAAGGAGATGGTTTTCACTCATGGCATTTGCCACTTGGTGTTTACTCTTTATCAGGTCCAAATCCGTAAAAAATAACTAAGGAGCTGAGCAGGACTCTCTGTGTCTATCAAAGGTGATGGTATTTTACAGTAAATCCCTTTGAAAATCAGAGATGAGAAGGGTTATGGCACTTGGTAGTCACACTCAGCAGCCCAAAGCGAGGAGAAAGGCCTTGCTCTCTGAAATAGATACTCTTTACAATGAACTTGTAACAACCAGTTGGGCATTTTGCACTGAAATTCTGGGGGAAAATACCAATTATTTGAGGCTGAACTCTTTGCTGTAATTTCTCTGCCCTGACTCACAGGGAGGATGTGAGGCTTCCTATGGAGCAGAAGGAACTTTGGTTTCAAATGCACTGTCATTTACTGTCACAACTTCCACTACATTTTGCTTGACTTGACCCTCGTTGCCTTGTAAAGGTTTGACAAATTCCTACAAAGGCCTGAGCTGGGTTAATAAATCAAATTTATGGCAGAAACACCACATTTCAAAGAATGTCAGAAGCCCAAGAAGTGAAATGTTATCACCTTAACTAAAATTTGATCTTGTAGTTCAGGCCCCAGCTGAAGCTTGACACAAATAACTTCAGCAGACAGTGAAGTTCTTTCCCCTGCCCTGTCTCAGCATTTGTAAGAAGGTGGGGGAGGGGGGAGGAGGAAAAGAAAGAAACACCTTTTAAGGCTCAAATTACCAGTGTTTTGGCCTACTGGTGGTTCCCAAGTCTTGCTCACATGCATGGGCAAGTGGGAACAACCCCAGCTGCCAGCTGTCCATCACTCCCTCTACTCTAGCACAAGGCTTTCAAACCCCTTTTGTCCTGGCAATGACCCTACTTCCTGACTAAGCATTAAGTCTCACCCTCAACACTACCACAAATTTTGGCTGACTGCACTTTCATGGAGATCCTAACTCCATTCATAGCTGCTGGGACTCCCTCATACAGAATCACAGAATTGCCAGAGTTGGAAGGGACCTCTAGAGATCATCTAGTCCAACTCTCCCACTGAAGTAGGATAACCTACAGGACAGTGTCCAGGCAGGTTCTGAGTATCTCCAGAGATGGAGACTCCACAACCTCCCTGGGCAGCCTATTCCAGCACTCTGACACCCTCACCATAAGGAAGTTATTCCTTGCATTTAAATGGAACTTCCTATGTTCCAACGATGGAGTCCAGCCTGGAGAAGGAGCTCGACATGCACCAGGGTTGCTGCTGCACAAGGGGTATTAATTCCATTCATTTATGCAGCTCTACTCCCCCTGCCAAACCTCAGGCCATCATCCCCTCTTTAAAACAGAAAAAGCAGGCTTCATTCTGTCCAGCTGGAAGCAGAAGTCCACCCAACTTACGCTTCCCCAGTTGCCAACACGCCAGGAGGCCAAGACGGGGCACTCGCCGAGGTAGCAGGGCTGGATGTTGGGTGGCTGTGTGCCAGGGCAGTTGACTGTGTTCTGGTACCCGTACTCATAGTGGTCCTTCCCGGTGTAGATCTCGCTGCAGGACACCAGGCGCTGCCGATAGCCCTTCCCACAGGTGACCGAGCACTGCGGGCAGAGGGAGCGCCCGTTAGCGCCGCACGCGTTGGGAAGGCGGCCCGGAATGGGGAGGTAAAGCAGGCTCTGAACCAGCTTTGAGCACAGCAACCTGCTCCCAGGGATCACTAGTAACCATTTCAGCTGCCCGTGGGTACTGTGAGCAGCTACAAGCAGCTCCCAACGCTGCCTTTCAGCATCCAGCTCTTCCTTGTGCTGCCCCTACGGCTGCTCCAGGACCCCCCACTCCAGCTTGGGTCCTGGACACAAATTATTTCTCCCCAAGGGCCAAGAAAGGAGCAGAAGATCCTTGGGAACTCAGAAATACCTCTACTGTTTGAGTTTTCTTTTTATTATCATTTTGTTTTTTCTTCCACCATTTTTTTTTCTTTTCTTTTTTTTTTTGCCATGAGATGCACAGAGAAACGAAACAGTCCAGACTGACCCTGAATTGCAGGTATTTGACAACTGGGAGAAAGGGAAGGTTTTCCTTGTAGTTAGTGGACAGACAGTGCTTCTGCCCTCCTCACCAAAAGGCTGAGTGGGAGCTGGGGTGAGCTGAGCTCCTGCTCCACGAGCCTTAACCCAGCTCTCCATCTTCACGGGCCTGAGACCTCCTAAGGGTTCGCAGGCAGTGGGAGTGGGTAGAAGGTGCTTGGGCAAGGGGCAGCCAGGGTTCCAGCCTCACAGGTCTCCTAATATGTCTCTTAGAAAACCACCCAGGAGACCAGGCTGCTTGGAGAAATTCTCATCTCTCCACATTTCTCCCTTCTGTGCTATCTTGGGTGGCTTGTTTCTCCTCCCCCTCAGTCCTGGCATGTTTTCCTTTTCCCCCTTTCTTGTTCTTTCTTTTTAATCAGTGCTGTGTCAGCAGCTGCCTTGTCATTTCCCTCTGCTGCTCCTCTAAGTGGAAAGTAATCCTTCACTCACTGCAGAAGGAAACAGGCTGAGATTAGCCCAGGTCCTCCTGCATGAAGGGCCTGCTGCAAAAAAAACCCTCATCTGTTTTCCTTGCTGAGCCCTCTCCCAGCCATGAGGGTGAACTTGCTGCCTTTGCTCATGCCAGGTCCTCACTCCTGTCAAAGACAGCACTGAGGAAGGACACCTCCCCCTGATCACATCCAGGCTCACCTTTCCCTAAGGATGCTCACTTGGACCCTCAGGCATCTCACAGGGCCCCAGAGCTCCGTGGGAGGGGATGGGGATAAACCCAAACCATGAAATGAAAGACAACCCAGTGTCTGCTGGATGAGATGTGCTCTGGAAGAAAACTGCCTCCAGATATCAGCTAGGACTGTGAGCAGACTGCCATTCACTCTTTAATATCCTGGCCTTCTCCCACAGCCCTGCTCCTTTCTCTCCAGCAGGGAAACAAATGAAAAACCCACTAATGGAACCGTGCAGCACTGCCTGCCACTGCTGCTCGGGGCTGCAACATCCCAGCGATGCGGCGGCGAGAGGAGGAGAGCGTGGCCGGGTGCTGAGCAGCACGGTCCCTGCGTGGGGACATGGATGGGGACACGGATGGGGACTCACCTCTGACCACTCCCCCGTGATCCAGATGTACTCGCAGGGGGGCAGCCCGCAGCTCTCCACCTCGGGGGGCCGTTTGCTGGCCTCGCAGTACCCGCTGCTCTGCACCTGCTTGTTCTCATCCACGCAGACCACCTTGCGGTACCGGGACGCCTCCCCGCACGTCTTCATGCACTGTGGGCAAGAAGCAACAGCTCATGCATCCCACGAGGGAGCTCAGCAAATCGACCCACAACTGGAGGGAGCCAGCCCTCCTCCCTGCAGCCCCAGCAAGCCAGTGGCTCTGTGCCCTGTGCTGGCATCGCTCCTTGGTATCACCTGGGGGCAAATTAAAGACCGGGTCCCTGCTGTGAGAGCATCCACTGACAAATTGTTCCCACCCTCTGGAGATACCAAGCCAAGTCACAGCCACAGGGAGAAAGGAGAAACCTAAGCAGCAGGTATTGGGATGGGTGAAGGTGGGATCCAGCTGTGATGGGACCAAGAGGTGCAGGGGTTGGCATGTTGGGTCAGGAGATGGGGCAAGGGGAAAAGAACAGGGCCAACCCCCACCATTTCATCCCCCAGTATATACAGCTGCTTGGAGAAAGACAACTCAGTCTTCCCCCTTCCAAAATACACACCATCACCTCAGCTGTGGCTGGTGCAGGACCAGCTCCTTCCCTGATCCTTGCCCTGGCACAGCACATCACTCCAACCACTGCAGCAGAGGCAGCTCTACAGGTTTATTCTCTTTTAAACACTGATATTTAAGCCTGATATTAAGAGCAACCCCTGCTAGCCCAGCACAACTGCCCCCCTACTTCTGGAAGCTTGAAAGACTCAGTTTCTCTCTCTGTCTGCCTTAGAAATACCAGCCTGGGCTGCAAGGCTGCACTCCTGTAACTGGGTCTGTGCTCAGAGCACAAAACACACACATAAACCAAAATAAATCAGCAAAGAGCAGCTGTCTGGATAAAGCCCTATTTTCTTAAAGTTATCACCTGCAATGGACTTCTAACACTCTTAACTAACTGGATTAACAAAGAGAAAAAAGCATGAAAATAATAATTTTATATAACATGCAGGAAACATCTTCCCCTAAGGAGAAGGATAAAACATTCAATCAGACCATCCCTATCAGAACAGAAACACCATTTGAAGTCATCTAGGCTCAGAGGACTGTGCCAGTTTAATCTAGTTAGAGCCTCACCCTCCAAACATCATTTCCAGCCTCCCCAAAGCAGCTCCTGCTCTCCTGACTGGCCCACAATTAGGAAGGTCATAGTGGGTTCAGCTAATTGCAAAATACAGGCATTGTCAAGCCCCCCTTTCTGTAATTAGCTGTCGGAACCAAGACTCCAAATTATGTGAGAACTTTGAAAAATCAGCTCAGTCCTTGGCAGGAGCAGCAAACCAGGAGATCTGGAGTGAGCACAGTGTGGTGTTGGTCGTAGATATTTAGTAACTGTGCAAAGGGGAGGGGGACAGGGAAGGAGAGGCAGCCCCACAAAGCAGCATTTATTCCAAAGGAATAACTTAGGAGCTCTTAGGCAACAGCAAACATTGCAAAATCTGCAGCCTGCCCAAAGACCCTAAGGGCTCTGTGTGCTTTCAACCTTATTTACCCTCTTGCTCTAAGTCCTTAGACTGGAAGCTCCTTCTAGGTCTGTGCTGAAGCACAGGGATCCTACAGGGGCTGGAAGAATTTGGTGGAATGTGATTTCCCCAGAGAGCAAACAAACTGGGCTGTCTTTGCCCTTTTCTGATACCTCCCTATTTTAGAAGTAAAATCTGAAGAGGAGTTATGGCAGGGCAAGAAGGCATCAGGAGTGCTCCATTGCCACACAGCTTCCCTGAGCAGCACCTTTCAGAGGCACCAGGAGTCCCAACCTCCCACTCTTCCTGAAAAATGACAAAGGCAGCAGGGCTTCAGGATGCTCAGAGCTCTCCTCATCTCTGGTTTGGAGTATGCCAGCCCAGAACGTGGTCACCAGCACAGGGTGAACCATCATCCCAGCCCTCCACCACTCATGGACAAAGGAGATGTCTTGAAAGGAGTAGGATGAAGCAAAGCTGATTTAATCTTCTCCCCTTTTTCCCTTGTTCATGTATATTTAAGCCTAAATTTGCTCCGTGGGAGGGGATGGCCCACACTTAATTTCAGGAGGGTGGATCATTTCCAAGCCATCAACAGGTCTTCTGACGTTGGCCATGAAGAGCTATCAGATCAAAAGCCCATCCTCTGGAGGCACCAAGCCATGAGGGACTGACTCAACCTCAAGCCAACCTGCTTTGGGTTTCTCTGCAGATAATGGTTGTAAGGCCAAATAAACCCGAGCCAGCTCTGTGCATTTTGTCATCATCAGTAAATTAAAGTTTGATTATTAGTATTTTTAGGGATAACTGGCATCTAAAAGAATCCCACAGAGACGTTAAATAGGGCTCAAAGACAGTCAGGCCTGGCATAAAACAAATCAAAGAGAAACACTTCAGAGGTTCCAATTACCCACCTGGAGGTTATAAAGCATTTTTCACAGAGAAAGTGGACAGTTCAACTCAAATGAAAAGGCTATTTTTCCTCTTAATACGGCAATAGATTTGGTATGAAATCTCATGTTCATGACTGATCTAAATCTCACACAGAACAGCAGGGCCAGGGGACAACAGTCATTAGTAGCAAGAGCTGAAAAACAGGTCAAGCATTTGACAATATTTGTCTCTTTTGCCTCATTTCCCAAATTTTGAACTATTTTCCTGGCAGTTCAAATGAAGGACCATTTCAAGCACTTCTGCAACTGTTCTAGAATAATAATAATAATGATAATAATTTTAACAGAACCCCAAGGGCATTGCTTTGCAAAAGCAGTCATGGTTTGCTTTTTTTTTTTTTCCTTTTTCAAATCAAAAGCTGTCACAGAGATGAAACAAAACCCCATGCCACAACCACTCAGACATGCCTTGGGTAACTCTGCAACCCAAATCAGACGAGGATGGCACGATTTTCCCCCAAACAGCAAATGTCAAAGACCCAAGAACTGCATTGCAGCTTCCAGAGCTGTGCACTGTCCTCCCACAGAGGTTCATATTAAAAAAAGAACCCAACTCTTCTCTCTTCCATTTTTTTCCTTTTTCTTTGTGACCCTGGTCTGGGTTTTACTTCGACATTAACAAGGCCCTTTCTATTGACTTTCTTCTCCCTTAATAATGATATAATTTTAACAGAACCCCAAGGGCATTGCTTTGCAAAAGCAGTCATGGTTTGCTTTTTTTTTTTCCTTTTTCAAATCAAAAGCTGTCACAGAGATGAAACAAAACCCCATGCCACGACCACTCAGACATGCCTTGGGTAACTCTGCAACCCAAATCAGACGAGGATGGCACGATTTTCCCCCAAACAGCAAATGTCAAAGACCCAAGAACTGCATTGCAGCTTCCAGAGCTGTGCACTGTCCTCCCACAGAGGTTCATATTAAAAAAAGAACCCAACTCTTCTCTCTTCCATTTTTTTCCTTTTTCTTTGTGACCCTGGTCTGGGTTTTACTTCGACATTAACAAGGCCCTTTCTATTGACTTTCTTCTCCCTGGTGTGGGCACTGAGAACAGCTAATTAAAGTTGCTACACCAATATAGCAATAAACAGTTCCCAGTAAGTCCCCTATTCCTTTTCATTGGCAAGACCAACTCTTTTTCTAACTAACAACAACACAAAGGAACAATAAAAAACACCCTCTTGATAGATTCCCTTTAAATTGAAGAAATCAAGAACAAGACAGCACTGGGATGTTATTTTACATCCTGCCTTTCATGTCAATTAGGTTCCATTGCAGTTCCCTGCTCAGAGAATACTAATGCAACCTGTGCCTCCTCACTATAAATAACATGGCCAGTACTCATGGCTGGGGAGAAGGTTCCATTACTTGTTTGCACAAAATATAAAGTGCTCAGTAGACAAGTAGCTTGGAGTCAGCCACAGGACAAACTCATATTGGGCATCTCCTGCAGGTTTCTACTAATGGCTATTTTATGGGTTGGGAAACTTCCAGCCCAACTTCACCCTAGCCAAGCCCCCTTGGGGGGAAAATTCTCCATAACATGTTAAAAATTTCCACAGTGCAATGGAGAGACCTAGAAATCTAACAGAAAGTTTAGCATCCCTCTCCCACGAATGGCTTGGCAGGGTTGAGGGCAGGCAGGGACCTCCTGCTGCCAGCTTGAAAAGTTGCAAAAGTAAGGAAGGGAGGGAAAAAGGATGGGGTGGGAGCTGTGGCTCTTCAGGGCTAATGACACTGTTGGGTAAGGACAGAGACTGCCTGCTGCTTGGTGACCTACTTTATTGCCTGTAGATTTATGAGCTGAAGAAAGTTAACAGGCTCTGTAAAAAGCCAAAGTTCACTGCAAGGAGCTTCCTGGAGCTCCCTCAGCTGCTCCTATGTTTCTTTTCCAGGCTGGGATGTTTCCATTGGGTACCACTGCATGGTCAGCTTGGCTTTGCCTCTTGCTGCAGCCCATCACACCCCAGCTCCCCAGCAGGTGGGGATGGTCCCCTTCAGCCTTGTGTAGCCATGGCCATGCTCCATAGGATTATAAACCCATTGCAGCTTCCTACAGCCACCAAGACCGCGGAAATGAAGCTAAACTTGTTTGCACTGTCCCCATCAGGTATAATAACAGATGGGTGGTGGCCTGGGGTGCTCTGCACAGTTATGAGCCATGGCTGAGCTCGTGGTGAAGGAAGGATAAGAGGAAAGCACACGCTGCCTTAACCTTCCTCCTGCCCAGCTTTATCTCCTGCTCCAGCCTAAGGGGCTGGTCTTGCTGAGGACTGATTCCATTCACTTGGAAAGCTGCTGTCTCCCATGGGAGATCTCATCCCAGGGCTGCTCACAGCAAAACGCATGGACTGAGAGCTCAGTGAAAAAAAGAGAGCTGGCAGAGGGAGTCGAGACAACAGGGCAGGGAAGTGGGAATTACTGACATTGCCCAGTTCCTTCAGAGCCACAGACATGGGGCTCCCTGCCCGGGCAGCGCGGCAGGGCTCAGGCCAGGGGGTTAGTGCTCAGCCTCTGGGAACAGACCCAGATCTGCCCTACCCCAAACCTGCTCACCATTTGCACAGGTCCCAACCAAGCACAGGGCAGCACAAAGCAGTAAACCAACCCTTCCGAGGGATTTCTCAGCTCCCCCTTCCAGCCAGCACACACCAGCCTCTCCTCCTTTTTTCCTAGCAAGCCTGGGTTGCAACCCCAAAACCCCAGCTCCCAGCAGCCTCCTCCAGCACCATCACCCCCCACTCTCCAGCACCATCACCCCTCACTCACCACTGAAGACCATTCCTGCCCTGTTGTGCATTCTCCTCTACTCAAGCAGCTGCTCAACCACAGGTTTGGAAAGTGCTACAGCCTCTGGAAAGCTCAGAGGGAACTTTGTGGGGATCTTAAGGAGGTGGCAGAGCCTGGACTATCTCCAGCTTAACCCACCACCTAAATCATCAGCCCTCAGCCTGCATCTGTTCACCATTTGCAGCAGCTCTGTGCTCCTGGAGATCTGCCCCTCGCAGTCCATTTAACACCTGGACACAGGGAATATTGCTCAACTCCAGGAGGAACTTCCAACACAACCCAGAGAGTAAAGCAACACTTAGGCTCCCAGCCTGGATCCAGCAGCAGAGCCCAGCCAACCATTCCAGCACAGGCAGCTGGGAAAAGGGATCAGCTTTGTCCAGTCTCACCCTGAGCCAACAGCTCCAAGCTGACCCCCCTCCACCCTCCCTACCTGATCAGTGTTGTCCCGATCTGCTGCCGAATTTCATTCCACTCCTCCTCGC